GAGTATCCAGTATACTCTTTGGCAGCGAACAAGATGGTTTGATAGATTTGGATCGTCTTTGCATGACTTTATTGAAAGATCTGCACTAATGGCGGACAATATTTCTTTGAAATAGTAACAAATCTATTTTGTCATTTTCATTTATGTTCCGATATATTTTCCACGTATTGACAACTGTCTCATTTATCATATGGGTAAAGGGTAACCACTACCATTTTTCCATGGATGCCCCTTGATCGAGCCACACCCCCAATTGATAAATTGTAGGATTTGAATAACTGAGATTGTGACACTGTTACTTTTTCTTTCTATTTTGCACACAAACGCTTCACTGGTGCAAGCGGCTCTGTGGTATCGTAATTGGTACCCATGGTCACAGCACGGTTGTTGTTCGATCTTAAAAATTATATAGCACTTTATTAGTCGTAGCAATGACCATAATAACCAATATCTTTTCTCTTTATCTCTTTGCCTTGTATAAGAGGACATTTTTTGATACGATTGTCACGAACTGTTCCCGTAGCTCTAATATTTTTTTGTTTCAATATCACTAAAAGCTCGTAACTCGCAAAATAATTATCGAAAAATATAACGTGATTAGTTTGAACTGTAATAATTCTCAGGAGGTCTAGAACAACTTGTGATCCTAGTGACAGTTTAGACTTTTTTTAGTCCTTCTGTTTTTGGCAAGCTAAAGGCTTAACTCCTCAGTACGTATCAAAAGCATAACAGTAACCAGTAGAACTGCACAACATCCAATATTTGTAGTCAAAATGTACAGGCTTGTGAGTTGATGAAATGCTTCGCTGAATGATGGCCTAAGTATTTGGTCATTGCCTCATCGATAGATAAATTTTTATGAAAAATGTCACATTGTTGAAACTTAGCATTCAGTAAATCCATAAGCGGTCGATGTTTAGACATTTTATCAGTTTTGTTGAGTTTAGTATTGTTTGCCAAATGTATATACTTTTTAATCCCTGTAAACCTATTTCTGCTTATTGCGTTGGAAATAAATATTGAACATTCAGATCTTCATCCAAATTCAAATACATCCTTTCACGGAGTAATTTACAGGTTTGTTCCAACACACCACTTTTGTGCGGTTTTAAAACGGTCACGAAACTGTTTGGCATCGATTTTATGCGCATGCTTCGACTTTGCACCGTTCGCTTACGATGCGAAGATGAGTCGTGTTGAAACGGATTTTGACACTGATCTAAGGACTGGTTATTTATCTTCTGTCTATTTGTTTAAAACAGATTAAAAAAATAAAGAAGAACAATTGGTTAGTTGTTTGCTTACCATTTGTCTCTTTGTATTTTAACCAGAGATAGTAAACACGTGATTTATTTGATTTTTTCTTACTTGAATACTTTGAAAAATAAATAATAATGTATTACTTGATAAGTAAAGTTTAGAAAATATATATTATTTGTTAGTTAAAATAATATTGTGTCTTAATAATCGTAAAATAGTTTTCGAAACACAATTCAGATTTCTGCTTTATAATCTGAGCCTTCTAAGAATTGCAAGGCAAACAGACGTTGATAAAAGATGTTAAAAGAGACATGGGGAATCTAAAATTTGCATTCCACGACATGTCTTTTACAACTAAGCAGAAATCCTTAGCGAATTGTGTTTCTTGTACTCCCACAGAGTAAATCCGAATAAAATGAGAAAAGGCAGCAAATATTTGATTTCACGCAAACAAATCCCATGTATCTCTTGATACGTATTTCGACCTAATAGGTCTCGTCAGAAGAGCTATTCATGAGGTTTCTTAACGTGAAAAATCAATATTTTCTGCCTTTTAAGAAGCAACAATAACATGGCTTCGATACGGACGCAGTAGCGACATCTAATTAAACAATCGTAAAATAGTTTTCGAAACACAATTCAGATTTCTGCTTTATAATCTGAGCCTTCTAAGAATTGCAAGGCAAACAGACGTTGATAAACGTCTCTTTTATTGTTGTCTCTTTTAACATCTTTTATCAACGTCTGTTTGCCTTGCAATTCTTAGAAGGCTCAGATTATAAAGCAGAAATCTGAATTGTGTTTCGAAAACTATTTTACGATTGTTTAATTAGATGTCGCTACTGCGTCCGTATCGAAGCCATGTTATTGTTGCTTCTTAAAAGGCAGAAAATATTGATTTTTCACGTTGAGAAACCTCATGAATAGCTCTTCTGACGAGACCTATTAGGTCGAAATACGTATCAAGAGATACATGGGATTTGTTTGCGTGAAATCAAATATTTGCTGCCTTTTCTCATTTTATTCGGATTTACTCTGTGGGAGTACAAGAAACACAATTCGCTAAGGATTTCTGCTTAGTTGTAAAAGACATGTCGTGGAATGCAAATTTTAGATTCCCCATGTCTCTTTTAACATCTTTTATCAACGTCTGTTTGCCTTGCAATTCTTAGAAGGCTCAGATTATAAAGCAGAAATCTGAATTGTGTTTCGAAAACTATTTTACGATTGTTTAATTAGATGTCGCTACTGCGTCCGTATCGAAGCCATGTTATTGTTGCTTCTTAAAAGGCAGAAAATATTGATTTTTCACGTTGAGAAACCTCATGAATAGCTCTTCTGACGAGACCTATTAGGTCGAAATACGTATCAAGAGATACATGGGATTTGTTTGCGTGAAATCAAATATTTGCTGCCTTTTCTCATTTTATTCGGATTTACTCTGTGGGAGTACAAGAAACACAATTCGCTAAGGATTTCTGCTTAGTTGTAAAAGACATGTCGTGGAATGCAAATTTTAGATTCCCCATGTCTCTTTTAACATCTTTTATCAACGTCTGTTTGCCTTGCAATTCTTAGAAGGCTCAGATTATAAAGCAGAAATCTGAATTGTGTTTCGAAAACTATTTTACGATTGTTTAATTAGATGTCGCTACTGCGTCCGTATCGAAGCCATGTTATTGTTGCTTCTTAAAAGGCAGAAAATATTGATTTTTCACGTTGAGAAACCTCATGAATAGCTCTTCTGACGAGACCTATTAGGTCGAAATACGTATCAAGAGATACATGGGATTTGTTTGCGTGAAATCAAATATTTGCTGCCTTTTCTCATTTTCTCATGTGTCTTAATACTTTAGAAATCAAAAATACCGAAGTACTGTGGCTAAAAATAGCCCGACATGTAAATAATAATGGTATCAAAGTAAGACATAATATTTTTTTTTTAAATCAAAATGAAGCGGTCAAATCTGCTATTATATTTATATTTCATAATAAAATGCACAATTGTAAGTAGAGGCTCTGAATAAATTTTGAGTATGAGAAGGAAATTGATGAAAATTTTGGGCATATAAATGTATATTAACACCAAACACACCTGTCAAGAGATTTAGGAAAGACATTTGAATTAGAAAACATTAGAATTGACAGAGTGAGTTATTATAATGAACGATTATAAAGAGAAAAACTTCAACAAATGAAAATAAGAAGTGATCTAATTAAAAGAAGAAACAATATAATTTAAGCAAAAAATAATCTAATTAACTGAATCTAATGTAATTGAATGAAGAAAAAAATAATATTTTAAATTAATCAAAAAATTTCCATTCACTGTTGTAAATTTTTAAAGAATAAATAGTATAATAAATAGTACTCAAATTTTAACGTCACTTGAAAATCAAAATAAAATTCCCAACAATATGAGAATTCAATATAAGGTTGAATGTTCGAATTTGTTATGTCCCAATTTACATTTATAACATTCTATTACTGCTGGATAGGCCACAACTGACTAAATGCCCCTGAGGATGATCTTGTGATCGAAAGTACTTGGGCAAGATTTGATTAACTACTGATTAACTACTGTGTTCGATATTTGCCTTGTGTACCATCAAAATATGAGAATTGTTGCTCGTACTACTTAATGCGTAGGTCAGTCCAAGCTGTAATAGTTTTTGCTCGCGTACTGAAATGACGCTTTCGAAACCGTACATTGAACGATCGCAAGTTGAATTGGAACGTCAAAGGGACGGTACGATGAACCGTCCATTTTCGGTTGAAACGCAGAGTTGTTACCGTACATTATACGGTTTTTGGACGAGTTGGAACAGACCTTATGATACCCGGTATAAAGACGAATTACAAGAAAAATTTTGATCTCATCTTTTATAATTTTAAAATTATGATTATTGTAGGCTGTTACTTACAGATTGGCGTGCTCTACAATATGATGTACAACTTCATCATCAAATAACTTTTTAAAAATTTGTGACGTAGTTCTGCAAGCTCCGCTTTTCCCCTATTCATTCGATTATAGCATCCATTGGTATGATTCATGCTTGTATTCACTGTTACTCGACTTTATTTTGGATCTCCGGACTTCTTCAGTAAGTTCTTTTTTGAAAGTTTGTTAGCTGTCAGTTCCCATTTTTATGATTTTATTCGTTTCGATAGGAATTTGGGTTGTTATCAAATCATCTTCATCAAACTCGTCTTCATCCTTTTGGTAGTCAAAATTTGGTGCAATTATCACTAAATATATTTCTGCATTATTGGTAATCTCTACACTTTCAATATCATTTATAGCTGCTGCAAGCGTATCTCAGGAAGACTCATCATAGAATTTTGGACCTCAAAAAAATATATTTTATTTTATACCCTTTTGCCCAATGTACCCAAGCAGGTACAGATAACACATTTAAGGCACACAACAAAATAAATTTATGAATACAGAACATTATTGATAAAAATGTTGACTTACCATATATAACCTCTAAATCACAACTGCAATGGCTATTTCAAAGTGTTATATCTTAAAACTACGTGAAAGAATACAGTAATCTGTTACATAGTTTGAGAGATGAAAATATGTCTTGTTTAAGACAGACATTAAGATTTTCAACTACCAATGGCACCAGTAGAAAATTATAGTTTCCCTGCCCGTACAGGTACACTGGGGGTTAATGGGTTAAGATAATGGGATAGAAAAGTGCTGTAAAAGAAATCTAACAAACTTTTTTTAGGGTTATCAATCTGGATTGATGTTTGCCGAAAATAGAGACAAGTACGAAGCCTTCCGCATTCCTATAATGGTAATTCCTAGTACCATTAGTAACAATGTACCAGGTACTGAATTTTCTTTAGGTTGTGATACTGCTTTGAATGAGATCACCGAAATATGTGATCGTATTAGGCAATCCGCCCAGGGAACAAAGAGAAGAGTATTTGTGATCGAAACTATGGGTGGATACTGTGGATATCTGGCAACTTTAGCAGGTTTTATAAGACAAGGATTATGCTTCATAACTTTTTTATTCATTTTATTAAATTATAGGTTTGGCTGGTGGTGCTGATGCGGCTTATATTCACGAAGAAAAGTTTACCATCAAAGAACTTCAAGAAGACGTATATCATATGGCTGCTAAGATGTCTGAAGGTGTCCAAAGAGGATTAATCTTGCGTAACGAAAAAGCATCAGATAATTATAACACCGAATTTATATATCGTCTATATTCTGAAGAAGGAAAAGGGTTGTTCAGTGCCAGGATGAATATATTAGGTAAGCTTTGATTCTTAATTATGTTTTATTGTTGTAATCCATATTTATGATACGTATATGTAACGTTTTATAAATTTTCACCTTCTACAGATAGATAAATTTTTAATTTTTTAGGTCATATGCAACAAGGTGGGTCCCCAACTCCATTTGACAGAAATCTGGGAACAAAAATGGCGGCTAAAGCAGTCGACTGGATTGTCTGTCAATTGAAATCCAACATGGTAAATGGAAAACCGAATTGCACCGATCCAAACACAGCCTGTTTGTTAGGAGTTTTAAAAAGACAGTATAAATGTACTCCACTATCAGTGTTAAAGGACGAGACTAACTTTGAGTAAGTTTTTTATATTATACTATAAACTATATTATATACAGTGGTGAGTGCTTTATCAACCGGCTTTTTAACGTAAGAGATAGAAAACAAAGTTACCTTGTGAAATAAAAAGAGGTTAGAAAAAGACTCGTAGAGGTGGGAAATAATCGATAGAAACCTATAATTTACATTACATTGCATTAACACTATCGATAGTCTCACACCTTTAGACGTTAGTTCAGCTAAATCACCTCGGTCATAATTATTATTTGTGACGTCGTATGTGTAACGTATTTCAGTGACATTTTTTTAAATTTGCATAAAGTAAAAAATGATTGACCACAATTAAAAGCAAAAATGTGAATACAATAAATTAATTATTAGTGAATATTTAATCTAAAGTTTTAAATTAATAACCAAAAATAATTTCTATGATTTGAGGAGTTTCATACACTCTTGTCACGGAAATAAACATCAGTCCTTTGTGGATTAGTGGTAAGAATTCGACACTGCGACGCAGGCGATTAGAGTTCAAAACCCATATGTGGTTTTCTTTTTTTTTAATAATTTGAAATTATGCAGAGATCGTTTTGATTTGAATCACGAAACATTTATGTCAGTCGTTACTAGTATTAGAAGTGTTTAAAGTTACACATAAATATCTTTTTGAAGTTGAATTATTTTGTATTTCCGTTTTATAACATTGGAATAAGAATAAATTGTAAATAATGAGTTTTTGAAAACTTGTTACCTAATATGTATAATATTTTCTATTATTTTTTGATTGAGTAAAACAAAAATTTTATCCTTGGTGGGAATTGAACCCCAATCTTCTTGTCAATAGACCACGTGTCTAATAATTACACCAACTCCACATACAATTAATGTTTTCGGATAGAACATACCTACCTTTAGTTTAGTCAAATATTTCAGTTGATTTATTTTTATTATTGAATAAACTTAAAGATTTATAATTTAAAATCGCTACTAATTAATGTTTTTTACTTTAATTCTAATTTATTCAATCATTTATTCTTACATCAGAAATTATGAAAATAAAATATTTTCGCGGTCATCCGTATAATTATGACTGAAGTCAAATAGCCACGTCTAAGAACTAGCTTTAACTCATTCTTTCTCACAAAATCCATCTTCTATCCTTTCCGCTATTTTGCCGGGTTTTAAAGCGACTTTAAACACTTCTAATACTATAATACTATACTATAATAACGATAAATTATAGGTTTCTATCGATTATTTCCCACCTTTACGAGTTTCATCTCTTTTTATTTCACAAGGTAACTGTGTTTTCTATCTCTTACGTTAAAAAGCCGGGCGATAAAGCACTCACCACTGTATATATATATATATAATATATATATATATATATATATATATATATATATATATATATATACTCAGTGACATCAGAAGTGTTACACTCAGAAGGAATAATTTCTTGAACTCAATTTTTTGGCAACATGGTAGATTTACATCAAGAATGAAACGATAACGAATAAACCGCAGAATTTGCACGGCTAATAGATGCTATTTTGGCCTTAATCTCCTTTTTAAATCTACAGTTATATCAAGAAATACAAAAGTAAAACTCTAAAAAACAATAATACGCCCAGTCCTAACATATGGTTCAGAAACCTGGACTTTAACAAAAAGCAATGAAAACATGTTAAGATGTATCGAAAGAAAAATACTGAGGCGAATCTATCGAGCGAAAATGGTGTCTGGAGAAGACGATACAACTTCGAACTCTATAGAATATACCAGGAACCAGATATCATAAAACACATTAGGATAGAACGTCTGAGGTGGGTAGGCCATGTAATGCGGATGGAGCAAATCGACCCAGCTAGAAAAACGCTCCTTGATAGACCTATTGGTCAAAGAAGAAGAGGAAGACCCAGAACAAGATTCCTAGATAACATAGACCAAGATATGAGAAATATGGAAATACGTGCTTGGCGGAGGAAGGCGATGGATAGGGACGACTGGAAGATAATTATTGGGGAGGCTAGGACCCACACAGGGTTGTAAAGCCAAAATGATGATGATGATGATGATGAAACGATAATGTCAAGAATTTTTATTAACAAGTAATCAAAAAATAATTAATAATGTGTTTGACAACCCCATAGCTGAATACGCTCCTGTATACGTCTAGGCATTGACAAAATGAGATGATAGATGTCTGCTTGTGGCACCTTGTTCCAAGCAACTTGAACTTCATGTATTAACTGTGCCAGAGTCTGTGTAGGATGGTGCAAACTGGACAGTCTCCTTCCCATCATATCCTATACATGTTAGATAGGATTTAAATTTGGAGCACGGGGCGGCCATGACAAAATATTAACACCAGCTTCTTCGAGAATGCCATAGTTTGGCGAGCAATATGGAGACGCGCGTTGTCTTGTTGAAAATGGATGTCCATCTACGACCATTATGCATTCCTAAAAAGAATCCTGATTCTTCGCTGAATGCTACATTACGCCATTCTGCCACCCAATGCTGCCGTTCTCTGCACTAATTCAAACGTTGATGACAGAGGTTCGCATTCAAAGGAAGCACTAGTCGTGGGCGAAATGAAACCAGTCCAAAGTCTCGAATGCGACGGTATAGTGTACACATACTAACATGTCTACCTACTACTCCAAACTATTGACACGTAGTAGTAAAACGGTCTTGTAGAGCCAGTAATCTAAAGCGCCTATCTTGACACTCTGTGATACTGCTCGGTTGACCAGTTCGTCTTCTTCGTGTTTCTCTACCTTCGTTTGTCCACACACGATAGACACGCATAACCGTCATCTCCGTACAATTAACACTACGGCAAATTTTGCGATACTACAAACCCATATGTCTATACACAATAATTATACCTCTGTCAAAATCGCTAACATGGTGGTAATTTTGGTGTCTTCGAACTCGAGACATTTTCTTACACTGAATACAATTAGACTGAGGTAATAACTAAAAATTTCTATACGAACCGGTTATCACAAATCGGTCTCTTGACAAAAAAAATTTAAAGATACAGAAATTGTAACACAACACTTCGAATGTTACTGAGTATATATATATATATATATATATATATATATATATATATATATATATATTATATATATATATATATATATATATGTATACAGCACCCTCAGTGCAAGACTGCAGTCAGAATAAGTAAGTTTAGAGATAAAGACGATTTTGTTTATTTTCGTGCTAATATCGGTGAAATAAGACAAGTTTTAAGAAATATTAACATTTAATTATGATTTTACATGCTTTTCAGTCTATATTATACTAACCAAAAATAGAAATTTTAATAAAATAATATTAATGCTAAAAAAATTAGGAATTTTAAAGTTACAATACTTTTGCACGGAGAAAATTGTAAAAAGTGTAGACACATTTTCTGTTAGTTGTTGTCCTCTTCTCTTATTATATGATCTTGGGCTACAATATTTTTATAAAAACTATGGTGGGCTTCTGATATCATACCCGAATGGCATAAGTATACCATATATGCTCAAAGGACACAGCACAAAGGACACACAAAACGATATTATCATATCGTTTCGTTCCCGGCCGCCAAAGCAGGGGGCGTCTTTGTAAGCTAACTACGCTGTAGTGAAGTTTTGGGAGACATTCGTTGGCCTTTCTGAGATTGAATTTGTATCAGCCCAAGTGTCTGATGAGGCTGGGATAGGCCGAAATGATCATAACACTTTATTGATACCGATTCGAGCACGGGAAGTTTAGCGAATTGGTCCTCCTAGGCCATATAGTTGGCCATTTAATATAATAAAGCGATAGCGGCTTTCGATAAAAGATTTAATCTTTTACATTCAGATCATTTACATCATTCATCTTTTACATCAGATGTGCATAAAGAATTCAGCAAATTTGATGCAAGTGTAGCAGTCTTGGGATTCTTCCATTTTGAGATAGATGTTAGTGCTTCAATTATATGTAAACTTCCTATACCACTTCCGAACTGGATTATGATTCCATGGCGCTCAGCCCATCTTGTTTCGTTTAGACCATGGACGTATAAACATAGATGGACACAGCAATAAAATACCTTTAACACACAATGTTTTGAAGCTTCGATAGAATGTGATGCTTCCGCAATGAGCATAAGCGTGCTTGAATTATTACTCGTGGGTAATTATTCAGATTTTAAAAATTGGAAGTAGTAATAATGTATAAAAACACGTTCAAAGAATTTTAAAAAACGAGAGTTTAACTATTAACAAATCACGTCTTTATAGAAAAATTAAAATACAATTTTATTTGCTTTAAAATTAATACAATAAAATATAGTTGAATTCAAGTTAATTTTTAATAGGTATCAAAATAATGCTACAATAAAAACATGAATAAACCCAATGGTACGCCTATTAAAATGTAAACAAACACGCTTCCTCATTTCCTCATCTTAAATAATGTAAATTTTATGTACTTACAAATGAAATGAGAGATCGGGATGTAAATATTTCGTTTATTTTATTTCACTTTTCACAAATATCACTCAAAATACAGCCAAAATATCGAAAAACAACTTTTACTAAAAAGTAAACAAACATGGAACAGCATTTGATGTTTGACGTAGATCCATAAGACAGAGAAATGTAAACAACCGTTGCCATTTATAAATAGTTTTCAGTGCTTCTACATATAAAATAATTGATTGATATCTAAATTATACGTTATTATTAAATGATAATGCACACTATGTGCACACTTTATATTTTGATTACAATTAAATATATTAATCTAACCAATAAATTATTATTTTGGTTTGATAGCACCTGTATAGTATAAAATACGGAGTAATATTTTCAGCAACTCGCGAATAAGAAATTTTAAAACAAAACGTGACAACAGCTGAAGGTGCTGAGAATGTGACCTATTCAAATAATTTTGACTTCACAATTTTATGTAAATAACGAGTCCATCTGTGTTTATACGTCCATGGTTTAGACTTATTAAATTTTGTCCGAGTTTTAGTTTGAAAACTTGGCCTCTTCGCTGACATATTAAAAAATGATATCACAGACTTTATTGTGCGCACTGTGTTTCTAATGGATGATGCATTAATAAAAGTTAAAACGGAGTTGTTTAAAATATGATTCAGGCAAAGACATCTAACTGCACTTTTGGGACCGTTTTTATTTCTTTTACTGCACTGACTGCTTCAGAGCTCATTACGCTGTAACTGTCAGTACCGATTCCTACAAATTTCTTCGGATCCAAGTGCAGGTCTTTCAACCAGTTTAATACTATTTTCCCTTCATTTTCATTAATTATTTTTATGTTGTCATAAGCGTAAATGAGCTTAACAAAGTCTTCACGAATGTTGTTATTTTGTATGTATCTCAAATTTAGAGAAAGCTGTTCCACGTGGGATACGTAGGTCGTTTCGTCAAATATGACAGAGTAATAATTTGCACTTCGAACCTGATTCATTATTTGTTAAGCATATGTTATCAATTGATTTTGACTGGTGCTACTAATGTATGTTGCTCGGAAAGATTTTGTGGATAGGTGTTGTTTAGATGTAATCGCATCAAGATTTTTAATCTTAACAATTCTCTGAAAATCCCCTAATTTCTAGGTCAGCATCTTCGTCCAGAAGCAGAAGGCCATCATCACGATGGCTCCCTGGTTAATGACTGACTTTTGCGGGTTGCGATAACTTTGTAGAAAATCCAGCCCAACCTGAACGTACTCCAGTTTGGCGAAACATGTTAAAGGTTTCGTGACAAGGCTTTGGGCTGTCATCTCTTTATTGTGACGACATTTTTCATTAGAAAATAGAATGTAATACTTGTAAAACAATCCGTTTTGAATGTGCAAAAGTGTCAACTAACTTTTAAGTGCTGGTGACCCAAGTAAGGCTTTACTTCTTTTTTGTTCTTTGTGTGTACAGAATATGGAAATTGATATGTTTTTGATGGCTGCTAAGGTCGTTCTAAAAATTGGCACTTGTATAATTATAAACAATTTGATTTACAAAACATCCTATATCATTCTTGAAGCTTCTGTTACTGCTTTTGTTCAATTATTGTCGGGGAGACATATTTATCCCTTGCTTTCTAATATTGTTTGTAGGCGTTTCGTTATTCGTATATGTACTTTCCTAATCATCGTTTCCAACTTCAATGTCAATTACAGAGACTAACATGGAGCTGGTGCCGGCTTCGGCATGAGTTTCTACCAATTCCGAACTAGATGAAGATTAGTGATATATTGATTATTTTCCCAGGTGGTTCATCTGCATCTCTGTCCAATCTTTCCTCTACTTTTTTGAAATAGGAACTAATTGGATTTATTTTTGACCGTATTAAGTCGAAATGCCTGAAACATTAATTGGTTGTCTGAAACAATAATTGGTATAGAAATATCCATTGAGTCAAATCATGGCATTATAAACCTTTTGATTATGGTACTAAAATATAAGCAGCTATTAAACAATCTGTTTCAATTATGTGTGTAAGTTTATTTAATAATTAATTTTTACGTTGTAAAAACTACTTTTTTGGACCTCAAAACGGATATTTCCATTGACATCTCAAATTCGAATTATTCCACAATCCCAATACTTTCTCTATACTATAGTATATGTAAACAAAGATTCTACATTTAGTAAATCTTAGTAAAAGGTATTAAAATGTATTTATTATGTAATTCTTGGCGCTATTTTAAATGGCGTTATTAAACTTATTTTTCGATAAATATTTTACACTATAGTATTTCTCACATATACCGTATAACTGTTTTTTTTTTAAGTAAATACTTCTTATCGCTCAGTATGCTGTTTTGCACGGGCCCGAAATTCTATTTAGCGTGACTCGTAAAATCGGGACGAGTGTAACCTTGCGGTATACCGATTTGGCTAATATAGTTTTTAAAATATTTGTATGAAATAAAATAAATTAAATAAAACTAATTGAATAAGATTAAATAAAACTCAATAAATTTCAATTAAAATCAATAAAATTTAATACAATTCAGTAACTCAATAAAATTCATTAAAATTTAATAAAATTCATTAAAATTTAATAAAATTCAATAAAATTACATAAAATAAAAAATTATAAAACATAAAAAGTTATAAATTATAAAAATAGAATTATATAAAATTAAAATCATTTAAATTAAATAATACTGTTCTGAAGCTATTTTCTTGTGAGATCGAAGTAATTACTATTTTATGGGAGTAAGCAACAATTTAAGTTTAAAACAAGTTTATTGGCGTTTTAATTTTCACTTCTTAAAATACAAAACATCAATAAAATAAACAAATTTTCTTTTTTGTTACTTGGTGAAAAATACTTCTAATAATTTAATTTTAACTGACTCATTTATACTGATAATTCAGACATATATTATACATTTTAAAGTAGACGACTTTAAAATGATATTGCCAATATTGCTGAGTTGCTTTCTTTGTAACGACTTTATTGTAAAATAGTTCATTCAATTACATGAAATTAACTTTTACTTGTAGATATTTTTTAAATTCTAAAAAATTTTCACCAAGTAACAAAAAACAAAATTTGTTTATTTTATTAATATTGTTCTAAAGCTATTTTCTTGTGGCATCTTAAAATAATTCCTATTTTAATAGGAATAAGCCACAATTGAAGTTTAAAGTAAGTTTATTGGCGTTTCAATTTCCACTTCGGAAATCGTTCTTCGAAATAAAAACGATTTTTGTCAATGTAAGTGGAAGTTAAAACTTCAATGAACTTATTTTATTTTTAAATAATAAACAAAATTTAACAAAAAATTAATAAAATCAATTGATAACCCTTTATTTTAGAAATTATATAGTCGGTTATAGATAGTTTTAAAAATGGAAAATTTTTAATAAAAATTAGTTAATATACCCTCCCATTATTCCTGATTCTCTTTAGAATAAATTTCTGACTTTAGATAATCAAAATAAAATAATTAAGCATAAGATAATGAAAATGTATATGATGCATAAATTCTATAGATATTCTATTTAACCTATATTTTGAAAATTACTGAAATCATTAAACAAAATATTTAAAGGAAAAAATTAAGGTTTCTAAATTTTAGCACATTGGGCGTCATATGACCCCTATGGGGATCATAGTATCCTATAGTCTGGTGCATGTGACCCCTACGGGGATCACACTGACATTTGAACTTGGGTACATGTGATCCCCATAGGGGCCATACAACACTGTTGTAATTCTGTTCGTGTGGATCCTATTGGGATCACGTTTCAATGTATTTCTTTTGGAGAAAATGTTGCCGTGGTACGAGGCTACACCTTGGTCTACATGGTTTTCTGATAACATGTGTATTAAGCATACAATGGTCTATAAAATTTTGGAAGGAAAATATGAATAATTATTCATATAACTACAAAATAAAGAATCATACAATTTACAAAAACAAACTATGAAAATCGAACTAACAAAACTAGCAATACAATGCTTATAATAAAACTAAACACGTCTTAGCACATTCGTCTGATGCATGTGACCTAATTTAAGAACGTTTTTCATTTAAACAAGAAAGGCAGAAGAATGTGTCACAAGTTGGACATTTGGGGATGACTAGACTTCGGCAAATATGCAAATAAAAATGTAGAAGATATGCGCATAAATATGCACGTGTTTACCCGAAAATATGCAAATATTTTACAAAATATGCATACAAATAAATAAAAAAATCGTAAAATAGTAACAATTTTATTTAAAAAAAAAGTGTACATAACTAAATATTTCCTACTATTCATTAAGATTTACATTTATTTTAAGTAACTACATCATTTTTAAGTATGAATAAACTTATTTAGAATTATGGTAACAATAAATGATCAAGTGGTGTTCAAAATTTTCTAACAAAAACTTGTGGCTTCTGTCTGAGTACATATATTTATATATGGAAAAACTTCGTTCAACATCAACTGATGTAACGGGAGCATTTTTCAAACTAACCAAAACATTTGGTTCTAAATTAATTGTTTCCGAAATATTTCCAGCTAGAACACTGACTACTTCAGAAAGAATATGGTAACCTTTATTTTTTTCCATAGTAGCTTCAAATTTTTTTAAAATATCTTTTCCAATATTACCTCTAACGTTCCGACAACATGACGCAAATTCTTTTATTAATGCTGTACTTTCGAACAATGACAGTTTTGGTGATTCTAACTGAGTAATTGTTTTTTGAACAAAACTAAAATTTGATTTTATAAATGAAAGTTCTTGTTGAAGCAAGTTACTCTGAAAAGTTTGTTTAGAATCCAAAAGAGATTGGGAACTTTCATCTGTTAACGTATCAATTATGTTCTTTATTTTAACAAAATGATCTGCATAAAAATTAGCTGCTTCTAACCATGTTCCCCATCGCGTTAAAATAGGTTGTGGTGGAAGAGGAATGTTAGGTAGCATTTCTTTATAAAGTTGAATTCTTATAGGAGATTTAAGAAATACTTTTTTGACACTGGATATCATGGTATTTACAAGAGGAAACTTTTTTCGTATTTCCTCTGCAACTCTGTTTAATCCATGCGCTACACAAGTAACATGTATTAAATCTGGAAAAAATATTTTTAAATTTTGTCCTGCTTTCACCATATAAGGAGCAGCATCCGATAAAATAAGCAGTAATTTATTAGAAGGAATAGTTGTCGGAAGAAAAAAAGTTGCTAATGTTTCTTGTATAAAACGCGAAATTGTTAAAGCATTTGTTTTCTCAAGTTGCTGGCATGAAATAAGATGAGATTTTGGTAAGGTATCTTCTTTAAGAACACCAATCAATAAATGAGCAATATACTTTCCTGAGGAATCAGTGGTTTCGTCTACAGATATGTAAAAATAATTATCTGCAATTTCTTCCTTAATATTAATTAACACCGACGAGTATAGCCCGTTCACATTATTTCTTCTTAGAGACCGATCACTTGGAACATTAAGTTTGCAATATTTTTTTAGAAACGAACTAAAATTTACATTTGCTAATTTTGAAAGCGGTATGTTTGCAGACACTAATGCGCGACACAAGTCTTCATTAAAAGTTTCTTGCTCATCTAATTTTTTTGAAGTAGATTGGAAACATTTAGCCATTGAAGTTTGATGTTTTCCTCCTATTTTTCCTTTTTTTGCAATGTGTGAAGCAGTTCTCACATGTTGGTCTATCTGAAATTTCTTCTCACATGCTATCTATAAATAAAAATAAAAACCTTTATTTTAACCCAACCTTTAAAATATAAAAATATACAAGGTGCTTTGGGTTAATCAAATAACTGGTTTGGAAAAAAAACACTCGCTAAGTGTTTTAAATGCAGTATTAATCCACAAATTAGTTTTTGTTACTAACCATTAGTACATCATATAACTTATTTTAAAATTCAACAAAAGTTTTTTTTTGTTAATTCAATTACAATAAAAATAATTGTGTTTTAGAATAGCTGACTTCATAAAAAAAAGTAAAGGTGAAAAATTTTTCTAAATACACACCATTGTATTGTACCATGGACAATTTTTTCTCACTAAAGGAAGCTATTTTTCATTTAAAAACAACCTACGAGTACTAAATTTCAAGTAAATACGTTTATTGGTTTTAAAGTTATTGTTGTTATTAACTAAAAGAATTTAATTTTTTTTTAATTTTAACACCCTGTATCTCGAAAAGTAAATAAGTTTGACCCCTCATTAACTATATCGTTTTGTTCAATTTTTCGAGAAGTATCTACAGTCAAACGTTGTAAGTGTCATTTGGAAACACCCTGTATGTATGAAATATTAGATATTTAATAGAAAATATTAGATACTTACAATTTTGCCACAGACTGAACAGTAGATTTTTCCCATATCCATAGACAGCTCTTTATAAGGTTTAATCCAAGTTGAAGCACTGGTTGTTTTAGGCATTAAAAAATCACAATCTTCCTTTTTGTTACGCACAACGAGTGTTTACGTTTTGAATATCAAAACAAAAATGATTTACAAATCTGAGCATCAAATTAAAAATGTTTAGGTACCTAATTCAATAAACTGGGAGATTTTGGAAAATCCCTAAATTAGGAACAAAACTATTAGCCGTTTACCTGCTGTTAAGATACAATAAATTGTAGATAGATTTGGGGATTAGATCATAAAATGCAAATGAGCGAACCCTTAGCGATTATCCAATAACTGAATGCCTCAGTGACCGAGACTTTCTAAGAATGTTAAGGGCTACTTAAATTGATCTTCTTTGAAATTGTAAATGTTTTGTACCTGTAGAGATTACGTACTTAGATCATTTCTTGATTAAAATGACTACAAAATTTTATACAAGAATTGAAATAAATTGGTATGTTTAAAAATTTTCAAATACAGTATAAAAATCTGAACTTTTATGCACGTTATGCAAACTTTTATACAAATATGCCAAAATATGAAATATTTGCATAAAATATACACAATATGCAAAATATGCAATATGCATATTTGCCGAAGTCTAGCGATGACTTTTTTGGTGTGAGCTGCAGCATATTTACGATCTCGTTCACGCTTAAGATGTTCATAGCAACCGGTGCACCTCCTCTTTACTTTCTGATAAACTCACTCAACAACTTGCAATCTCTGTTCTCTGACAGGTGGTGGCGCTGGTGCCGGGGGTGCTTCTTCGGTAGTATAGAGAAGTTCTTCAGCAACCTTATGCCTGAAGTCCGCCACACTAAACTTATTTGGATTGTTTGCATTGTACATAACAAATGCATTTATCATGGTTGTGCCTAGTATGCAATCCAGAATGAGACGGCGGTACCATTTGACCATTTGAGAGTTCTCCTCGAGTACGAAGAGTAGGCAGTCATCTGGTCAGAGATATTGATAAACCAACAAGATATCATTTTTGAATAAAACATTTTCCCCAAGAGTGAATTAAAAGTGTGGTGGGTCATTTTCTTTCCCCAGGTGAAAGTCAAGGCTTCTTCTTTATGAAGAACTTATTCTGCTACTAGTTCTTCATCTTGTGTAAATTCTGGCTCCTCTGCGAGCTAACTCGGGAACGAGCTGGTTTCTGTGTGAACTGTTTAACTCTTGAAGGACCTGGTTTCTGTGCGAACTGTTCAACTCGTGAAGGACGTGCTTTATGTCCGAACTGTTCAACTCGTGAAGGACCTGGTTCCTGCACAAGCTCTTTAAGTCTTCTTATTTTTGATTTTGAACCAGTATCTTCAACGTTACTTGTGTCTCCTCCACTAGAGTCATTACTATCACTATCATGTTGATTGTCAAAATCCGGATCTGCATCTGAATCGTCTATAGGTTCAAGACTATCATCACTTTCCACAATTAAACTCTCGAGTTCCTCCTGTGTCAACGGTTTTGATCTGTTAGATTTTCTAGACATTTACCGAATTGTGATATTTTTTTTTATTATTTATTTAGATATTAGATCACTTTAAATGTTTATAGCTTTATTTAGATTAACGAATTGTTTCCTGTGATCACTAGATTGAGAATAACTCAAATACAAAAGCAGATATATTTATAAAACAAAAATAATTATGATCTCTGACGGCAAGTAGATGATATTTTTAATAAAAAAAAATGGAACATAGGTCGAAAAAATATTGTCGACACTTGAACCCATCTTGCATCTGGTAACAAAAGCGTAAAATGAGGTTGGCTTCCAATGTGTTAAAGAACTTAAATGTGTAGTGTTATTATAAAAAAATATAACAGGCTATGAGAAGTGTTCACTTTCGGCACTTCTTAAGTGCCACGCTTTTTTTTGTCTTAATATAGTTCGAAAACTATTTCTTGTTACATTTTATATTAACTACTATATTTGATAGGAATAAACCGTAATGTTTAAATAATGTAAAAATAATGTATTTTAATTAAAATTCTTGTCTATTTGTGGTTTTGGCTTGTTAAAATAAAGAGTTCACTGCCGAACAAAAATCTATATATTTTATCAACAGTAAATTATAAAAGCATATAAAATATATAAACACGTATAAAATTAAATTAAATTTCTGTTTACTTTCTGTTATTGCATATATTTTTATTTTTTAAAAAAGTTTTGCCATTTTTCAACGTGATACAGTTTCAAGAAGAATATGTTTCTAATAATCATTCGATTAATTTTTAATTGACATACTACCATATTAATGAAACATTTTTTTGTAGTAAACGGATACCCAAGGAGCAGTGGTGGTTGAAATTACGTCCTCTACTTCGTATTTTGGCGAAGCACGATTCAGCATATCAGGAAGAAGGCATGTATCTGACAGTCGAAGAACATGCTCAAGCTGACAACCTCTATGGTTGATCAAGCCAAAGATTAAGGGAATATTTTAGTTAAAATTCTTCTCATAAAGAATTTACACATTTTTATCAAATAAGTAAAAAAATCACAAAAAATAATATCATTGTGATTCCTCAAAATATTTGTAGATTCTTTAAGATGAAAAGGTATTCGTTGATTTTGAAATCATTTGAAATGTTTACATTGAGTTGTTACATATTGCGCTGTGGTAATTCCTTACCGATGTAATCTAAATGTTTTTAACAGGGCAAGAAAAATAGCTTTATTTATTTTCTTCATAATTAATATTTGATTTATAGATATATAGAGATTACAGGCTATGAATTTAAAAATACACCATAGGATCATATTCTATTGAAAGAAAATTAATATCATGTTGTATTGTTATCTTATTACTTTCTTTATTGTTCTAAATTAATTTGAAAATTAGGTCACCAATGTCTCTAGAATTGTTTAAAATATTTTTATAAGGTATTTTTGCTATATCAAAACTCAGGGTATTTTTTTAGGTTAACTCTCAATAATCAATCAGTACATGTTTTGGTACGCAAAGCCAAAAAATGTTTGATGTCGTTTTCACCTTAAATTTGTAGATTTTATTGATTATATTATGTTATTGAATGTTCGTATTTTAACAAATGAGGTATTTTTTCTACTTCTAAATAGGTTTTAAAGTTTTTAATCTAAACATTGCAACTCACTTTTGATTGTTTGGTGCTTGGTTTGGCCAATTAATATTTGTTTAACTAGTGCGTCATACTTTATCTGATTTAATCTAAATATTTTAAAAAAGTGTAACATATTCTCTCTGTAATATTAATTATTTTATTCAGTTTTACAACCTTGTTATATTTAAGAGAGATCAGTAGGTCACATTTCATTTTTGGAATGCGTAATCAAAACTCTTCTGCACAGAATTTAACGTAATTTTTTTTTTCTATCTTGTATTCTGTAAAAAAAATCTCCATGGTGTTCTTTATAAATAGCCTTTTTGTTTTTTTCTTTTTCTATTAAAGTATAGAGTATATACCTATCGATTCGTTGAAATAACTGATTATTGTTTCGATATATTTATCTGAATGTATTTTTCATGTGATGTATACAGTCCGTGATTTCACAAATTAAGTATTATTCTCCATATATTTGTTAATAAGCCGAGCATTACTTTTAGGTACTCGAAGAATTGTTATAGTTTTAAAGATATATTGTGACATAATAAAAATATTTGAAAATGCATTATCGTATGCTACTCATTTTATCTCCTATACCTATTGTCCTTTAGATGGTTGAGTCAGTCTTTATTGTAATATACATAAACAAGCTTGGACATATTATTAGAAATAGTTATTTGTATTGAAATTATTGAGAGAGTCGCTAATTTACTTTTGTTGTATGGTAAAACTAAGATCTGTACAAGTCAAATTTCACATAAATTTGCGTTATTAAACTTATCATTTTAATACTAGTGTACAAGTTAACCAGACGAATGCTATTTTCATTGTTTACAATGACTGAAAAATTGATCTGACATCTCAACTAAAAGATTAAATTCAAACTTGAAAATTTTCATGTGATAATTTTTTATGATTTTGGCATGGATTAAAAAAAGTGTACTGGTAAAGTCACTTAGGTAGCCTTTAATTTTAGTCTGAATCCAAGAGAATTACGAGGACTCAAAGATCGACATCGCAGTATGTTAAATTACACGAATATTTGGCTATCAAAATATGCGCTGAATATATCATAATTGCACAATTGCTGAAGAAGGTCTGTGTCGATTTTTTAAATACGTGTTGAATTAACTGTCAGTTACATTATTTAAAAGAAGTAAAATATTGTTCGATACATCTTTCTAAGGAATGTAATTCCTATAAGGAATATGGCGAGTATTATTATTACAGATAATGCAAATGAAATGGGAACAACCTCATGAAAGTAGTTTGAGAATAAAGAGGGCTAGTGGTGGTTAAACGAAGGAAGAAAACTGTATAAAGGGGTTCAAGAAAATAAATCGGATACAAATATATGAAAACAAAGCTAAAGGATTTATCTACATTAGATGAAAATAGAAGATCAAAATAATAAAATACTAGTTTATTAAAATAATTTCTAAAAAAGATACGAAAAATACTGCAACAATAATCAATAATAAACCAAGAATTTGCTAGAAAACCAGATGAACTAATAGAGACATTAATAACAATAATCACCAAAATAACAAACGAGGAAGTTGCTCAACCACTTCAAAAAATAGAGAAAGGTAAAGCAGTTGAAGCAGATTATATCCTTGGAGAAATGTGGGCAGAGTTGGGAGAGACAAAAACAAGTTGGTTAACAAGTATATTTAATATATTTATGGAATTACGGCAAATTCCAGATGAATTGAGAAGCGAATAACAAACCATTTTAGTCAGAATATAGAAATAAAAGCAATACCATCAGTAGAGCACAAACCCAAATGGTAGCTTATACCAAAACTCTAGTCATAAGATATTAAAATGACAAATAAGGACCATAAGAACGAGAAAATATACAAAATTAAAACAGCTTTAAGAAAAACTGGCTTCTCCACGTCAACGATTGAAAAGGTACAGAAATTTCGAAAAAAAAAAGAAAAACCAATTGGAAAAACTATACTGTCCTATATAAATGACACTTCAGACAAAATCTGTAGAGTTCTAAGAAAAAACAAAATAGTGACAGTAGTAAGTAACACCGGCAGGAAAATCTCAATTATATTACGATCCGCAAAAACAAAAATTCGTTAGTTTTACAAAAATGGCATCGGAAAATCATAGTAAAATTAGGCCAATCGAAGAATACTGACTAGATGAGAAGAATATCGTAATACCATCGAAAAAAAAAAAAGAAAGACGTCATATTTAGCATATGTCATAAAGGCAGGACATAAAATAATCATAAATGAAACAACGATGGTAGCTAACACTGAAAATAGGAATACACTTATAATCAGGGAAGCAGTTGAAATTGAAAAAGATCAAAAAAATTTAAATACAAGAGATGATGACCGATTATAAGTGCTTACCTAGTGCTTTTTTGCTCTTTTGTAGTCGGTAATTTTGCGACGTCAGTTTTTTCCTGTAGGTTCAATACATTTCCCAATGTTAAACTGTGGTATTTTGTTTCTAATATCTTGTTGGCATATCTCACAACAAGAAAAAAATACAATGGTATATAGATAGAAAGCAACCGTAAATACGTAGTTCTGACTATTTGGTCGTCATCAGTACGATGCAGCCAAGTTACCCTAGGAGAACATTAACTTGGGAAAAGGATTACTATATTTGTGGCAATAGTCTTAGAGGACCCTGATGGTTTCCAGAGCAACAGTTAACAGGAACCACGGAGAAAGCTATAGGTACTTGAGGAAAGGAATGAAAAACGTATAAAACGTTTAAAATAAGTAGTGAAAGTTAATGCGAGTGAAAAGTAAAAAAGGTAAAAAATATTGACATATTTCGCAACAAAGAAAAAAAAAACGATGGTATACAAGATGGAAGGCAACCGTTAATAGGTGTTTCAGACTATTTGATCGACATCAGTACCGTACATGATATTCGTAGGATTTTTCTGCAACACCAAAATTCAAAGCCGGCTAATTATTCAGATGCACTTGTTTTATTGTCCATGCTTCCAAGTCATAAAGGCCACATAACACCGAAGCATCCTTATACGTAGTCCTAACTTTATATCCCGACAACAAAGAAACTTTTAAGTTTAATGGGTGATCTTCATTAAGTTCCATCTTTTATCGAAGGTTGGAAATCATAATGGCTATGCAGACCCTGTTGACTACCCCTCTAAATACTTCTGCACTACTGCATTTAAACCATTCCCTTAAGTTCTTAAGCCACGATACTCTTCGTCTTCCACATTTCGCTTTCCTCGAATGATGGTGAGGGATGAACGTACTATTTTAATACGTCTTAATTTCTTTGGTTTGGTCTACATTTTACGTTATCCATGTTCATAAGTATGGAGACTCACATTTGCAGTGTATTTAACAATCAATGGGATGTTTGTATCTGCCGATTTAGTCATGATTATGCATTTATTTTTCTTCAAATTCATCCTTAGTCCGTATTCATGATAATATTCATTAAGGCGTTGCGTTATCTTCTGTAAATGTTTGTTGTTATTCGTCATTATTACTATACCTATCGTCTGCAAAACGCAAGTTATTCAAAACTTCATCATTGATAGATATATCTGATCACTTCTTTAAATACCGCTTCACTGTAGATATTGAAGGGTAGTGAGAACAGCACGAAACCCTAGTGGACTCTTTGTCTTTTGATATTTTGATATCTCGAGTGTTCTGGTTGTCTTGTTTGTTCTTTTATTTTGCAATATTTGGTTTTTTGGCTTATTAACCCATTCATGCCCGTTGACAACTACAGTTGCCACGCCTATGAATGTCTCCCTCTCCCCTCTCCGACATTCTTATTCGCAGAGTGCAGTTAAATTAGATGGAAGGGGTTATCGGCTAACAAATTCTGCAAAGCGACAGTTTGTATCTATCATTCAATTAGTTAGTATCGATAGTGTGCATAGTGGTGTTGTACGTGTATAATTATATTCATGGCCGCCGACAGTTCTATGTAAGTATACAAATATATAAATGTATTTTTTCAAACAAATGATTTATTGTCTTCAATAGAAAGCTTTTGTCGTCATTTTTAACAATAATTGTTATTCGTCAGTCATTTACTTTTTTCAATATACATATGTAAAAATGCATGGCAACTTGAGTTGCCACTGGGAATATGGATTTCATGTGATATTTTCAGGTATGTACGAGGAAGAGATGGCAAGGGGTTACTTTTTCACGAACTTCTTGAAGCTCTCAAAGAAGATAATGAAATGCCTGAGTATATATCGATTTGTCCACCTGAAGAACCTCCAGACGCAGACACAGACAAGGATTCCGATTTCTCGGATGAAGAAGTGGATGGCGATACCAACCATCTTCGAGCTCGTATCCTGCGCTCTCAAGTAAGTGTGAAGTACAGTCATGAAATTGAAGCTGCTGATGATACCGAAAATGATTCCCAACCGAGTACCTCTCGGCAGATTCGTATTTCTCAACCATCTGCTTCCAAATGTCCTAAATCTGCCAAACGGCCACGTTTAAATCCAACTACATGGAAATCAAATATTTTTGAATTTACTTCAAAGGTTCCTGAACCAGATGTCGAATACCGTCCTAATGTAGAGGATCTTTTGAAAGAAACAATTAAGAGCCCGATTGACGCATTTAGGTCTTATTTTACACAAGATACAATAGAGCACATTGTTCGCGAAACAAATTCTTATGCAGGGCAAAAATTAGTACACAACCTTAACGCTACTTCGGCAGAAATTTTAACGTTTGTTGGGGTTATGCTCTTATCGGGATATCACCCACTGCCTTGCAAGCGGCTTTACTGGACCGTAGACGATGACGTTCACACACCAATAGTCTCAAATGCAATGAGACGAAATCGTTTCGATGAACTTATGAGTTTTATTCATCTCGCCGACAATCAGTCCAATGACGGTACTGATCGAATGTATAAAATTCGCCGTTTGTTTAATATGCTAAATTCTGCATTCAAGCAAATTACTCCTGGTCCCACTGTAAGCATCGATGAGAGTATGATTCCTTATTACGGGAGACATGGAAGTAAACAATTTATAAGGGGCAAACCCATTAGATTTGGGTACAAACTGTGGGTAGCTTCCACACGCCTTCCTCAAACTGGTCTAGGACAAGGTGGTGATGTTGTTCTAGGTTTAATTGATCACGTGCAATTGAAAAAAGGAAATAGACTTTATTTTGATAATCTTTTTACGTCGGTTGCATTGTTGCAAGAATTGAGTTTCAGAGTAATTGGAGGTACCGGAACATTACGTGAAAATCGATGTAATGCCGCAATGAAACTTCCAGAAAAAAGTGCGTAGAAAAAAAAAAACAAAGAGGTGACTTGGCTACTTCTTCGTCTGGTGATCTTTTGCTAGTTCGCTGAAATGATAATAACGTTGTCACAATGCTTACCAATTGTGACAAAGTCTATCCGATGAAAAAGTCTATCCGATATTCCAGGTCCTATTGAACGGTACAACAGCATTTAATAAATAAATACTATAAATACTGTTTTTTATTATTCTTATATTTACACCGCTTTATCCCAGTGGCAACTAGAGTTGCCAGGCTGCCATTTTGGCACTTAGAT